AGCACGATCTTTATCTGCCAACCTCGAGCTCAGAACTAGTTAAGGGTTCAATACTGTACAATGCCAAAAAAATGTACAATCATCTGCCTTTGAATATCAAATCGCTTTCATTCTTTCCCGCATTTCGCAAAGCTCTAAAATCATACCTACTGGAGAGAGCCCTATATGCGGTAAACGACTTTTTTGTTGATGTTTAATTAAGAACAATTTTGAATTTTAAAATTTTGATCATCTCACACACTGGTCAAAGGTCAAGTATTTAATATTTTATAACTTTAAAATGATATCTATTTACTACGTACTGTTCTAAAATTGTCCATGTATATTCTTTTTGTAATTTTAAAGACTTAAATTTTTTTGAATTGTATTATTTGTATTGTGTATCTTTTGTTGTTTGTATTTTTTGTTGTTGTTTGTGAGTGTTTTGTCGATGAAGCTGTTTTGGCTTTTTGCACAATAAAGCGTTGTTTGTTTTGTTTGTTTTGTTTTTGTTGATCACTTTTTATTTTCTTTTTACTACGTGATATACCACACAAACGTACACGTCATTAATTACTTTTCGCTTCAATTTGTATAAAATAAATCATTTGAGAAGTGATAATAGAATTATTGAAATATTTATTACGACAGTATTTGCATATAAAATATTAGCTGTGATATTAGCATTACCTACGATAACGTGACGCATAACTGAAAATATACTCTAAAAGGATATATACGTTTTTTATTTTTTTAACACTGAAAATGTTTTTGTTATGCTAATATGAGAGCCCAAAAATCGCTAAAAAGTGTAAATGCTATATTTATAACATGGTATCATTCGCGTGAGAGATCGTTTAATATGCAGGGTGGTCCGACTGTATTCCAGAAACTTCGGCAACATATTCTGCACATGAAAATAAGTAAAAAAGTTCGTATAAATGTATGTCCTAAAATGCTTAGTTTCGGAGATACAGGGTGTAGAAGTTTCATTTTTATTTCGATTTTTATCAAATGATATCTGAAGTAACGTCAATATTTGGATGAAAATTGGTATCTGGGAGTTATTTGATATGAGAAATTTGATTTTGATGTCAATATGACTCCTACTTGTAGAGGACGCCACCTACATGTGTTTTAACTGTTTTGAAGAGTAATAAGTTTTCGTCCGTACCTGTATAAAACTACTGTGTGAAAAAATATACATTTCCCTAACTTTTTACGTAAAAAATGTCTCTTGGTAAAAATCGCTGCGAGCAAGCATTCTCAAGATATTTAGAGTAGAAATAGTCAATACATATCATTATTGACGAAAAATAAACACGTTGAGTAGATTAATTGTCTGAAATGTTAAATTTGAGAACTTTTTATTTTTTTAATTTAATCATAAATTTTTCTTCGAAAAAATGATGATAAAACAGTTTGTCTTGAATTTTTGACACAAGAACATATCAAATTTATGATTTCAGTCTAATAACTATTTAGTCAAGATGTTTAATTTATTACAGTTGAGGGTTGGAACCTTTGGTGTTACACAGCAAAATAAAACACTAAATCACCACAATACACCAAAACGCTAAATAAACTTAGTTTAGTTTATAATCATCTGCTGATGATGCTAACATGGTTAGCAAAACGCGCGTCTAGTGTCAAAGTAAAAGCGTTTTGGTGTATTGTGGTGATTTAGTGTTTTATTTTGCTGTTTAATTTATTTTAAGTTATTACTCTTTAAACCAGTTCAAAAATATGTAGGTGGCGCCCTCTACAAGTAGGAGTCATATTGACATCAAAATCAAATTTATCATGTCAAAAAACTTCCACGCACCAATTTTCATCCAAATATTGACGTTACTTCAAGAATTATTTGGAAAAAATCAAAATAAAAATGAAATTTCTACACCCTGTAACTTCGAAACTAAGCATTTTAGGACATACATTTATACGAACTTCTTTACCTATTTTTTTCTGCAGAATATGCTACCGAAGTTTCCGGAATACAGTTCAGACCACTCTGTATATGAGGGGGTCGGAAGAGGTCCTAGTACTAAAATGTGGAAAGCTTTTTAATTAAATAAAAAATAGTACTAATATTTTACGTTTTAAAGTCATGTGCGGCTGATCGCGGAATATATCAGCCATCATTTTTTCATCAATGAAAAGACAAAAGCTCTCAAGAGGACTGAAGGGCTCTCAAGGGAGATGAGGTGGATCATTCATGCAAGTACTTAGGTATCCATAAACCAGAGCTATCTTGCCTCCATAAACCATTTTCTGTGTCCTGGGAATCGGTTAAATTTATAGAGTGATACATACGCCTATATGTTAAGATATACTCATTTCTTCTTGTTTCAAAAAATTATGCAAACAAACTGTTGCTTTTACAAGGATATCTCTAACAGCTCTTTCAGATGGGCGGAGCGTCCGCGACGGACCGTCCGTCGTGTTTTTTCGAGATAGCCGTCGGACGAACTCCGTCGGACGGAGCATAAGCGCCCATGTGAAATTGTACTCTTGGTACTTGCTCGAAATCGCGGACGCTCCGTCGCGGACGGTCCGCTCCATCTGAAAGCGCTGAAAGAGTAGCGACTTAGGCTAGATTTCGCGCAGCCGAGTGATCCATCCCCTTAATAGTTCTTCTGTTTTGTTAATTAAAATATTTATATTATTACTTATAGAAATTGTAATATATTTTTCTCTTTTTGAATAAAGACTTTTATTATCTATTATATCTTATCTAGTATTAATGGGTCGTCTTAAAATTCTCCATTTTGAGACAAGTATTCCAAAGGCGTTTTCAATTACCCGGCGAGCTCTACTCCTGGCGATAATTAAACATTTTCATTTCATTTGAGAATGAAATTTGAGAGCAGAGCTCGTCTGGGATATGGCCTCATCATATCGGAATTACGCTGGAAAGCTTCTTCCCCAACAAAAACAAAAAGCGTTACTTTTGTACTAATGGACAATATGCAGGGGTATGATATATTTAAGGCCTGTTTTCCAGCTTAATTCCTAATAATGAGTTTTTAAAAACTTCTGCATCACTAAAACCAATTTCGACGGTGTTGTGAATTTATAATTATTGTCACAAGTGGCCAACATAATTACACTGCGGTGCCACTTGTAATTATAAAATGTAGATCCGCTATACGCTGGTGCCTAAATGTTTATCATTAATACCTTCGATGCAGTTGGGAATATTCCATCTCTCCAAAAATCCTGCTACTACTTGTTTCCACATATCTTTAGAAGGTGTTGGAAGTATATTTTTTAATTGATTCCACAATGCTTCTAAACAGTTGTGAATTATTACAGAAACAGTAGATTTCCACATCTATAGGCGTATGAAAGTGATGTCATGCTATCTATCACCAGAAGCTAAATATCTTGAAAATAAAATAATAATTATTAGAATTCCGCAATATTTAATATATATTGTGTAAAATTTAATAATAACAATACTTAAAAAATAATTTGTTTGTAACCTACTTTAAAGTTATTGCTAATCTATTTTCGGCCGCTAAAGGCATACGTAGTCAATGTATTTTGGATGTATGTGGTTCAATTAAGGATAAAAGCTCCTCAAATTGTTGAGAAGATATGCGAAAATAATTATTAAAATCATCTCCTTGTTGATTTTTTTTTGGTTCATTGGTCTCATACAAAACCTTCTGCTGTCTCTCTTAATACAGGTTTTCGAATTTATATACAGAGTGGTTCGAACTGTATTCCGTAAACTTTGGCAGCATATTCTGCAGATAAAAATAAGTAAAAGAGTTCGTATAAATGTAGGCCCTAAAATGATTGGTTTCGGAGATACAGGGTGTTGAAGTTTCATTTTTATTTCGATTTTTTCTAAATAATTTCTGAAGGAACGTCAATATTTGGATGAAAATTGGTCTCTGAGAGTTTTTTGACATGGGAAATTTTATTTTGATGTCAATATGACTCTTACTTGTAGAGGGCGCCACCTATATATTTTTTAAATGGTTTGAAGAGTGATAACTTTTTGTTCGTACCTGTATAAAACTGTTGTGTAAAAAAATATATATTTACGACGTTTTTTACGTAAAACGGTTTCTTTGTAAAAATCACTACCAGTAATGTTTCTCGAGATATTTGGAATCCAAATTATCAATACCTACCATTATTGATATAAATTAAACATGTTGACTAAATAGTTATTAAACTAAAATCATAAATTTGAAATGTTTTTGTGCGAAAAGTTCAACAGAAGCTGTTTTATCATCATTTTTGCGAAGAAAAATTTATGATTAATTTAAAAAAATAAAAAGTTTCCAAATTTGTCATTTCAGTCAAATAACTATCTACTCAACATGTTTATTTTTTTTTCAATAATGACAAGTATTGACTATCTTTAACTTCCAGAGACATCGTTTTCAGTTCATCTAAATTTCTTTATTTAATGTGCCCATATAGACGGTTTTTGAGGCAAGCCGTTCGGCGAAAGATCCTTTGCTATTTTCCTACTGTAACTGCAATACACGGAAGTCAATGTTTTTCTTTTCTTCAACATGAAGAATATTCAAGTTATTGTGGTTTTCTTCCTTTTCAATTATTTTTGTCTTCACACTTAAACCGTGCCTTTAATTTTAAACCTCTACCTGGTTTGGGGTACGCACACAAAGAAAGCTGGTTAATTCGTCGAAAACCACAATATGCACACTAGGGTGGAGCGAAAAACAAAGAATTTTCGAAAATTCGCTTGAGCACTTAGCACTATATGCTAAAAGTTGTCTTTATAGTAGCAAATTATGAGTAATTTTTTTCATTTTTTTTACTTTGATATCAACATCTTCTACTAACGGACTGATAACGCGAATTACTGACTGTATAATACGACTCACATCGATGGACTAACTAACTACCCCTGTCCTCAGCACACCATTTTATATTTTTCCGCTCGTCCCAATTATCGGCGGGTACGTGCTCAAAAATCTCCTTTGTATATTTCCAGCACCGATACTTATAGTACGAGCTAGCCCTGAAACATCACGCTTACATCGACCTGATTCTAATTGTTTAATTAACAATGTTTATTATAAGAACATATTCAGGTCGACGTATACGCGAACGATTCCCTTGAATCTACATCAAATTAGTTTACCAGAATTATATTTTACATGATTTTTCCCAATTTGATGTAAACCCAAGTTGGCCTATATTTAAGTCTTGACATATCCCCCGGGCTTGGAGAGCTGGTCCCCAGCGATAAAAAAAAATCATGTGCTATTAAGCTTAATTAAGATTTTCTTGCGACTCATCAAAATCAAAAAAAAATATATATTTTTATCATTTACTCTTTAATCCCGTACAAACAAAAGGTCCTACGCGATACCACCCGTACTGAAAATATGTCTCCTGGCATCCTGGTGCGTTGCGTCCGTTTCAACAATACCATAAGCTTCAAGCTTTAACCCTAGCTCATATCAGTTAAGTAATGCACACGCCAGCACTGCCTTTGCCTTTGTTTGACTGGTTGCCTTCTTATTCATTGTATACTTCTGTTCGTCCGTGCGCTTGGTTTCAATGTCAAACGGGCGACGGCCTTTTGAAATTGCTGGGATCAGCGGAATACTGAACAATTATTTTCTCTTTTCTTCATTAGTGTACTGTTTTCATTCGAGCCAAACAAAATTTACTTGTTAATATTTCTTGGTTTTCTGGCTTCTCTGCGGTATTATGGGTTCAGTGGCTTGTTACTTCAACCAACCAAATTAGTTTTTTCTCCAGGCTGGTTATTGCTTCCATATCCGTATCCAAAAAATTCCATACATCTCCAATCCATTAGAATTCGAGGCAAAAAGGCGAGCGGCGTGTTTAACATTTGCTCAACTGAACAGAGCTTGTGATGCTGGAAAGTTTCATCTCACTGGTGTGGTTGGTACGTGTTTCCAGACAGCAACTCATTTCTTCCTTCGACTTCTTAGTGTTGATTGTGGTATCGGCAGGTGTGATACAAAATTCATGAGAAATTAAAGAGTAAGTACTATATTTTATTCCTATCTTTAATATCTAAAACAGAATAACAATTACGTTAATAAAACTATTCTTCTTAGTTACCTGTGAAATATCTACAGTTTATTTTATCTTAAATATTTTTCGAAAATGCATTTGCTTAAAAAAAATTAAAAATTGATAGTTTTAATTATTTGCTTAGGTTCCTTATATTTATATAAAAAATAAAGATTTAAAATATGACTTTACTTATTACTATTTAATTAGTCCAGCTAAGCACTTTGTATTATTATTTATATTTAAAAATAGCCTCCAACTATTTGTACTTCAGCAAAATTAGAAAAGTAAGTATTTATTATAACGTTTACATTTTCTTTTCATTTAGGACGAAGGAAAAAAAATATATATATATATATATGGCGAAATTCATCAAATTCTTTCTTGAAAAAAAAAATCATTACCTATTTGGCTTTTCTTTATTCCGTCTACTACATTACATGTCCTTTATCTCCTAAGTGGTGAAAGATTGTTTGGGAAAAGTCGCGTGGCTTCTAATAACATGTTTTGTCAACATCGAAACATATACAATAAACAGTCTACAAAACAGAACAACATACATACATATTGACAAAACTATCGCAGTTTATTTTTCTTTTTTATTACTAACATAAATTATAAATAATATTTGTTTCTGACTCGGGAAAAAAAAATAATCAAATTCAACTAGTACCTCTAAAACAATCACGGCTTTCTAAAAAAATAATGGGCATCCTAGGCCAAAATAGTCACGTGACGTTGATACTAGGAATAAAAATAACAACAAATCACCTAACAAAATATCATCCGAGCAGTTCTTTAAGACCAACATAGCTACACAATCTTTCCCCAGGAGCTGTAAATGTAGTAGTTTTCAGTATACTTTACCTCAGCTTACCTTGAAAGTATTTCTTTCCTTCCTTTTTTTTATCCTTATTTTTGCTCATTGTTAGAAAATAAATGTCACCTAAAAATACTCAAAAATAAATTAGTTTCTGTCTTTTATTGCAATCTTACAACTAAAAGTTAAAAAAAATAAATACTAAGTTTATTAAATAGTCTTTATCAGATCCTTTATACAACCATGCGTTTCTTGATTCTAATTTCAACTCTAAATATGACTCATAAGCATCGAGTCCAGGGAGGGTGGCTAGGGTGGATAATGATATCCTTCGCCATCTTGGCGTTTGGCCTTTTGGTCATCATATCCAGTGTCCTAGTTGTGCGAGAAATGGCATGCTGGGGTCTAAATTCATCACGAGTTTCTTCTCTTGGAACGTTTGTTTTACGATCAAAATAATCGAACTGTCGCACAGTGCTTCGTCCCATGGACAAAAATCAAAAAATAAGTTAAAATTTATTAATATCTAAATATATAATTTTATACTTATAGCAATGTTCAACCATCCTGTATATTATTTTTCATAAACAGCGTTTTTGTTAGCAAATATTTTCACTAAAAATAAATTTTGCGATCATTATCTCATCAGTGAAAAGAATAACATTCATAGTAGTTCTGTATATTATGGAGTTAAACGGGTACGTACTTAACTGAAAGCCACTATGGATATTGTTAAACAAGGTATGTACTTTAAATTTATTTCTAAACAAGTTCGTGATTGTTTAGTTTTTATTTATTTTTTAAGATGATTCTTAAATGGGTATAAAAATTTTACGTTTTCAAACTTCAAAAGGCATTTAAAAAACATATCAAAACATATCGTATTTATTGAATATTTTTTGTTGCCATATTTATACACTTTTAATTTTGTATAATTCACCTGCGTCTGCTTGCGACGAACTTTATTTTATAATACTTTTCAGATGGAGTAAAATTGATAAGCAATGCCGATCTGGCTAATACTTGGCTTGATCATAAGGACAAGAACTCAAAATTATTTGTATTTCAAAAAATATGTTCTTATTAGATATTGATGAACCTTCCAATCAAATGAGACACCACTTATGCCTGTAAAAGCCCACTATGTTGGAGCGAAACGTCGCATAAAAAAGTTTCCATCTTTCAATTTATTTTAAAACCTCATATGGTCTATTAAAGAGGTAACTATTAACATCCGAACCCCTCATACCGACAAAATGAACAGTAACAACGCGAAAAAGTAACATATTAGAAAATGATGTACAGAGACATCTTATATGTGAGGATACTTCATCTACCTGTGATTTGGATACTATAAATTTGGAAGATTCTGTCAGCAGTGATTCTCCTGAATCAGAGTAGTTACGATCTATGCATTTTGTTGTCCTACAGTAAATTTATAGTATCTTAAGTTTTTTTTTAATTAAATATAACATTAATGTTTCTTTTTCATTAAAGAAAAACATTTTTATCTTATATTAGGCTTATATTGTAGGAATCATGTTCTAATGTTATTTCAATTCATTTTTATCACAGGAATTTATTTAATACTTACACCGTTTTCATACTATAACTTATTATTTGCTTAGATGGAACCCAGCTCCAACATTATTATTATTTATAAGATTTTTTTTTCATAAACGTGGGACTAAGAACATCATCATTTAGTACAATGAGGGTACTCATCATTTGTGTCAAATAAACCTAGTTTGAATAAATTGCTTACAATAAAAGAGAAGTTTTGGATTTTTGTCCTCTAGAGCCATATGTTCGAAGCACTGTGTGTCGGTTCCAACAAGGGTTGTCTAATAGACGTATACTTTTGCTTCTTATATGCGTAACTTCTTGTGTCGGAGGTATATCTTTATCTTCCACATTGTTAAAACAAAACATTGGTACACTTGAGGAGTTGCATTTCTCTTCTTCGAGAAAGAAAGGATTCCATTTTTCTATTTCATCTTCCTCGACATTGCCAGGGAGGGTATTCCACTCATCCTCAGCCGGCATAACTTCACTTCCAACAGGGAGGGCATCGTCTTCCTCTACCTGTGCGAACTCTATTGCGACAGGGAGGGTATCATTCACTTTCTCTGCCTGTGCGTATCCCATTGCCACGGGGAGGGCATCACAATCTTCCTCTATCCGTGCACTTTCTAAATTGAGGGAATCCAAATCGTCCTCTTCACAGTAGTATAGTAGTAGTCTTCGGTAGTATAGTGGTCAGTATCCCCGCCTGTCACGCGGGAGACCCGGGTTCGATACCCGGCGCCTCCACCATATGTCGCGACCTAGCTGGGGGTTGTTTGCTAGGGTCGCTATACCAGGTTCTCTCTCTCAATCAAAACAACCATTGAATAAAATATTCATTTATTTAATATAAAGTTCACAGTATAATACAATTTTGGGGAATGCCAAGACTTAACAGTTTACTTAACTAAGTACTTACAGGAACATCTTCAGTCTGCGCTGTCTTCTACTAACGGACTGATAACGCGAATTACTGACTGTATAATACGACTCACATCGATGGACTAACTAACTACCCCTGTCCTCAGCACACCATTTTATATTTTTCCGCTCGTCCCAATTATCGGCGGGTACGTGCTCAAAAATCTCCTTTGTATATTTCCAGCACCGATACTTATAGTACGAGCTAGCCCTGAAACATCACGCTTACATCGACCTGATTTTAATTGTTTAATTAACAATGTTTATTATAAGAAGATATTCAGGTCGACGTATACGCGAACGATTCCCTTGAATCTACATCAAATTAGTTTACCAGAATTATATTTTACATGATTTTTCCCAATTTGATGTAAACCCAAGTTGGCCTATATTTAAGTCTTGACAATACCCCGCAATGACCTTGAAATATTTTTTTTTTAATTTTTTTTAGAAGATAGCACTATGCGCTAAAAGTTGTTCAAATAATAGTAGATCATCCATGATTTTTTTCAAGATTTTCTTATACTCCCCTCATGGCCCGCAATGACCTTAAAATATGTTCAGTTTTAAATTTATAGAAAAATTCCTGAATCTCGAAGAAAAGTTTCTCTTCGCTACTTTCCTCAACTACCCATAACACACCACGGGGAGGTGGCTGCATTTCGTGTTCCCACCACCCTTCTCCGCCCGCCAACCGCCCGATAGTTTAATCATAATATTGTTAATTTTAGAGTTATCTATTAAATAATGCATACCTCATTATTCTGCCTTATAGTCTCGCTTGGTTTCAAAAACTGGCATTATATTGCGATCTCGAAGTCGTGATCTTATAAAACCATCACGAGCACTAGCATCACAAACGCTTAAAGAAGCTTAAAGAAGATATCGACTCAATCGACTTAAACGTATAGTGCGCCATAAATTAATAATGGAGCATCTTTTATTTTATTATATATATTTACAACCCGAGATCTTGTTCCTATCATGGTTCAGCTTAATATCGAGGATTGCAGTAAAAACATCGTGATTGCCTCTGCTTACTTTCCGGGTGACGGGGAGGCACCGCCTGCGGATGTACGGGAGCTCGTGCGATTCTGCAGCCAACGGCGACTACCTCTGCTAATGGGATGCGACTCCAATACACACAATGAGGTATGGGGAAGCACTAACACTAACACTAGAGGTGAGTGTTTACTTGAATTCCTCTTAGCATGCAATCTTGAAGTTCTCAATGTAGGGAACAGCCCCACGCTTGTGACAAAAACGCGGGCAGAAGTGTTAGATTTAACAATCGGGAGTGCTGGTGTAATCAGTTACGTGAAACAATGGAGGGTCTCAACGGAACCCTCCCTATCAGATCACAGAATCATCGAGTTCAAATTAGGAGGAATCACACCCCAAACAGAAACTCGAAGGAATCCAAGAAAAACAGACTGGGACATGTATAACACCAATCTCGTAGACAACCTAAACCGTATAGATGCAAGTAGGGCCAGAAACCATCTGCATCTAGAATTGTACGCAAGGGAAGTCAGCGGTGCAATATTGGATGCATATGAATCTAGTTGCCCCGCAAGTAAAGGCATACAAAAAAGTAACAAGAAGCCCTGGTGGAACAAGAAGTTGGCCAAATTTAGATCGGAGGTCCGACGACTCTTTAATAGAACTAAATCCAGTGGCGAATGGCAGCTCTACAGCGAGAAATTAACTGAGTATAAGAAGGAGATAAGAAGGGCAAAGCGGTCTGACTTTAGATCCTTTTGCGAAAACATCACTTCTACTCCTGATGCAGCTAGATTACACAAAGCTATGGCCAAGAGTGGATCTATCCCCATCATGGCACTTAAGAAATCTGACGGAAGCTACACGGAGGGAGAGGAAGAGAGAGAGCAAATCTCCTACTTTATACACACTTTCCAGGTAGCATACCTATTGATACTTATGTAGCTCCCACTGAACCTCACAATCCTTGCAGGGAAGATTGGGAAGTGGCAAGCTAGTAATAACAGAACAAAAGCTGAAATGGGCGATCGACACCTTTCAGCCCTATAAAGCAGCAGGAGTGGATGGGATCTTTCCTGCCCTTCTAAAGGAGGGTCAGCAAATAGCTACTCACCATCTACTAAGCATTACAAGAAGCAGTCTAGCGATGGGATATATACCAACCACATGGAGAAGAGCAAAAGTAATCTTCATACCCAAAATAGGCAAAACTGACTGGACAAATCCCAAGTCATTTAGGCCTATTTGTCTCACATCGTTCATACTAAAAACGCTGGAGAAAGTAGTTGACAACCATATTGGAGAAAATCATCTAAAGGTTAAACCACTGCATGATAGTCAGCATGCATATAGAACGGGCAGATCCACAGAAACTGCTCTGTACCAATTAACGGAGCTAATACAGACAAGTCTGGATAGCAAAGAAACAGCAATTTGTGCCTTCTTGGATATTGCGGGGGCGTTTGACAATATACCACATAAGGTGGTCAGGCGATCTCTAGAAACAAGAGGGGTGAACAGAACTATTATTCGCTGGTTTTGGGAAATGCTGTCAACACGAACAGCAGAGGCTCAGATGGGCACCAAAACTGTAGCTGTTAAAACAACGCAAGGAACTCCACAAGGTGGAGTAACCTCCCCTTTGCTGTGGAGCTTGGTGGTGGATGAACTACTAGATGAATTAACTCTAGCGGGAATACACTGCATTGGGTATGCAGATGACATAGTCATGATCGCTCGGGGGAAACATGAAGGCACCTTGTGTGATATTATCCAAAGAGGACTCCGTATCACTGAGAGATGGTGTAGGACTGTCGGGCTGAGTATCAACTCAGACAAAACCGCGATAGTGCCATTCACCAGAAGGCGAAGTCTGAAAAACTTGAAAAGAATCCAACTAGATGGAAAGGAAATACTGCCAACACAGGAAGTTAAATACCTGGGAATAACCCTGGACAGTAAACTCCTGTGGAACAGGCATATTAAGAACACTACCAGCAAAGCCATAAAGGCTCTCATGATATGCAGAAGACTGGCCGGAAATAGATGGGGCTGCTCCCCTAACATTTTGCGCTGGATGTATACCATGATAGTAAGACCCATGATTACTTATGGAGCAGTTGCCTGGTACACAAAACTAGAGCAACGGACGGCAAGGCTAAACCTATGCAAAGTCCAGAGACTAGCATGTGTTTGCATCACAGGAGCCATGAGAACCTGTCCAACAGCAGCAATGGAGGTCATTCTAGATCTAACACCACTGCACATTGTCATTGGTAGATATGCCAATGCGACAATGATTAGAATGGTCACTAACGGAATTAGTACTGGGAGAATTGTCAGATCAGGGGCTTGGAACACCCTCAAAAGGAAATACCACTTCTGCAACTCCCAATGGACGATATGCCAAGAAGTACAACTTTGACAAACATGTCAATGTAGTATTGAGCAATAAGAAGGATTGGAAGAGCGAAACGCTTGCCCAGCAGTTAAAAGACCATACCATAACTTGGTATACTGATGCTTCCAAAACCAATACGGGAACAGGGATCGGAGTGTTTGCGCCGAGAGCTAATTACTCCGAACCAATGGGCACTTACCCTAGTATCCTACAGGCAGAAATCTACGCTATCGAGAGATGCGTACAACTTATCTTAGATAGGAACTATCGGAAACAAGAAATAGCCATCTTATCTGATAGTCAAGCAGCGTTAAAGGCGATCAACTCAGTATCAATCGATTTGAAATTGGTCAAAGAATGCATAGAGAAGCTGAATAAATTAGGCAAAGAAAACAAAGTCCTCCTACACTGGGTGCCTGCTCACCAAGGGATAGAAGGCAATGAAAAAGCAAATAATCTAGCTAGGAAAGGAGCGAACACTCCACTAACTGGACCAGAACCGTTCTGCTTTCCAAGTGGTAACCAACTCAAGGCGGAACTCAAGAACTTGGAAGATTCCATCCGCAACCTGGAATGGAAATCTTGCAATGGTCTAGGACACTCGAAGAAGTTTCTGAGGGCTTATGATCAAGAAAAATCACAGATCTTCCTGGGTCTGAGTAAGAACAATCTTCGGATTGTCACGGGGTTTTAACAGGACACTGTCTCCTCAATGAACACCTCAGTAGATTGAAACTAAGAAGAAACGGCGAATGCAGATTCTGTGGGGAAGATGGTGAAACACCAGTACACCTCATCACTGAGTGCGCCGAGACGACAACCATTCGTGCCATGAATTTTGGTACGACTGATATTGGAGATGGAGAACTACCCTCTATAAAACCGTCCCAGATACTGGCTTTTGTCAAAGCCCTGGGACTGTATTATGAGTTATGATTCAAAAAAGGGGGACACAATGGATCTGTAAGGTCGAAGTGATTAACCCCCCTCCCACTCATTCTAAAAAAAAATCTTTTATTTTGGGCTTGGTTTTAATGTTAAACCACATAGGAGCATATACTTTATTAATGAACGTAGCAATTTCTACCAGGTTTTCTGATGGGGCAGGGGTACTTACATAGAGTCTCAAAATTCTATTCGCGGTGGTAAGCCATCTTGCATGTGATAATTAACCAGGGTTCTTAAAGGCAAGACTGACAGGAGATTCACCTGTACTCACAGCGGTGGTTACGTCAAAGATATATTTTTGGCCTGTACTCAGTTGTTCTCTATCTACTTCAGAAAGTTCACATTTAATGGGTTTATAATTTATGGCAGGTAACTGGTCACAGCTTGTTAAATTTTTTCCGATAGCTCCCGAGAACCCTCTAGGACCAGACATAGTTCCATCTAACTTTTCAATCAAATGCCTTAAAGGAAGTTCGTTTGAGTGTAACTGACAGACAATCCAATGCAAATGTCTTCCGAATTGTTTTTCTAAAGAACAGATGACACCACCAATGTTGCCTGTGTTCACAACTGTTCCATCGCAACCTATTGCTAGAATATTGGATGTGTCAATATTCGCTTCAGTTAAAAAGTTAAATATTGCTTATGTTTTCAGCTGACCCAGTTATTGGAGAAACGTGCCCTAGGTAACCTGATCCCAGTTCGGAAATAATTGAAATGTGTTCTTCTGTTATTATTTTTCGTTTGATATTACCACCGTCTGGTCGAACCATTCGATCTGGTCGAAACAAATCGATGTTCAGGTCCTATATATCTTCGATGTATTTTCGTTTTTTCAGCGGCGGGGAATGAAAACATTTTTTACTAATTTTGAAAAAAATTACAGGATATCTACTATAGGAAAGGCAACTTTTGGTCGATAGTGCCAATTAGTTTTGTTAAAAAAAATATTCACCCCACCCTAATGCACACCCAGCACAGACAACAAGCGACCAAGAATTAAAAATTCGATCCGATGACTTCAACGTTTGGGCAGGTATTATTGATGGCCAAATGTTGTTTATATTAATCAGTAGTAACATCAATCATAATCTAAATGGCCAGACGTACGCATTATTTAGAAGGAGCTTATTCCAAATCTGGTAATTTTATTCCCCGATCCTTTTTTTAGTAACAATTATGTACAAATATCTCCTTTATATCTGTAGAAATATTTTTTAAGGTAAAATATGAGGAAACTAAAAATAATAGTTAACATGTTCAAATATTTTGTTTAAGTTCTGTTAATTAACTGAATTTTAAAGACTCGCACTGTATACCAATATTGCAAGACTATAAAGAAATATATCGTTAAAATTTTTATGCACAGCGAAGTGGGCACGTACCAGCTATAAAATTCGATAATAAATATTTTTTATTGAATTTTATTTCATCTCCTGTATATATTAATTTTAAAGTATAGCAAAATTTTGAGTATGCTTCATTTGTCCATTGTTTTAATCTCATATTAGCCACTTGAAACTATTGTTTAGCATATCAGCTTATCTTTTGATTATTAATTTGGTAAATCAATTTGCTAATTTTAAATATTTAGTTAAAGTACACTTTGCATGTTTAGTCGTCTATTAAAAAATGAAAAAATCTAAGAAAAACGATGATACCAAGACAAAGAATGGCGGCTTTTATGATCCCATGGCCGTAACTTGGACAGAAAAATATAATAATCAATTAAGTAAAGTATGGAGTTATGTGCCGGAACAGTTGGGGAAAATTATAGTAACTTTTGCAGTTTTTTTCTTGGGCGTTTCTATTAACGGTAAGATATTATATTTATGATTAAATCCATACCCAACCCCCCCCCATAATGATTAGTGCCAAAATGTATTCTGGTTCAGTATATTTTATTTTACATTAAATAAAATTTTGATTTTTTTTTTCAAAAAACCGTTACTGTACCATAGTTTATGTATTTTTAGTCAGTTCCAAAAATAGATGGAACCATGATATTTAAACTAGATATTTTATAAACAATTTCTACATTTTTCGTAGGGGGACGCACAAAAATAAGTTTTTCTACAAACGTCAGTAAAAATGTAATTTTTAACGCATGCTGTCAGTGCCTAAAATGTGAAATTATGTCACTGATGGTAAAAGTCATTTACTTAAAAGTAAGTCACGTGATTTACTTTTAACACTGAAGCGATAATTGAAAAAAAAATAAGAAAAATCAAGTCAACGTAAAATAATTATTTACTCAAATTAAATTTACAATTAGTGAAATTACAATTGGAATAAGTTATTCCATGGCCAATTTCATTTATAGCTGTAGTACAAGTAGAAGTTATCTCTGATGTGAATCTTGTACCAAGATTAGAAGCAATGGTAGTATCCGCTGAGGTTCTGGATAAAATTTGACCTGCAGTATTCGTTTTATTTTGTAAAGAGTCTTCTATATAACCCTCCGCTACGGTACTCGACTTCCATCCACCGTGTCGCTTAATTGTATTAAGATTAGCCCCAGAATATGTCAGCAAACTAGCCGAGGATCTTCGGAAGTAATGTCCAGAATAAAGATGAGAATCGGGCAAATTTAGAGATTTAGCAATATTGGCAGGCATCTTACCAAATGTGTTGATTCCAACTGGAGTCGTGGCACATTTATTCTTAATATATTTTTTAAATATTCTTGAATGGTTGATGGTCGCTGGACGGAAAGCTATGTACTTTTTGTAATAATTCAAATATAATGTACCAGTAATAACAAATGTTCGTTCCACCTTAGTTTTTGTATCATGAATATACACGATTAATGTAGTTTCTACATCCTCAATATTATTTAATGTCAAGCTGCATAGTTCTTTACGACGGCACGCTCCAAATATGCCGAAAATTACGGAAACTTTTTTCATCCGACGCCCCTGCAAGAAATTTGTCGATCTGTTCTCTGGTCAATATTTTCGACTTCTTTGAACGATATCCCTCACCTTTTCGCTTCAAAAAAGCAATAAGCCTGTAATATTTGCTTATGTCCTGATTGTTTATCTTTATCATTGCCTTGATTATGGAATAATTTGACCAAAGCGTTGACGATTTCCATATTTTGGACTTTTCTTCGAAGTATGCCAAAAGTACTTTTTCACTGAACTTGTCAGTGCCACTAACATTTTTTAAGGTCACACAATCTCAAAAATCGATTATATGAAAACTCGTACTGATCCTTGGACTTGCTGGGTAATAAATCAAAAGTAATTCTATTAGCCGCTTCTCCAATTTCTGCTGGGAAACACTCAGTTTCTTGATCACTTTCCATCATTTTACAAGATTTGAGGCACAAATTTGACATTAGTTGACAACAAATGATCGAATGTTTGGAATCTTTCAATTACCCTAGCAACCATAAACTTCAGAATTAATTTGATTTTAGAATGACATATTATGAATTATTACGAAGTTCGAAGGGACGGGACACTCCGCCGTCGGCGTCGTGTCTCAAGCTTCCCTTCTCACAAAATAAAATACCACTTTTAGCACTTATATCATAAATAACTATTTTAGGCAATCATCATAACGTCAACGATTTAATAGCGGCACTTTAGATATATAAAAAACTCGATGTAAAAACTACGTGCTCCCGAAATAGTTTTATCGTTTTTAACTATTATTTCTTTATTATTTTTTTTGCTTTTGAAGATGGTCGAGATCTATAGACTGAAACGTTAAGTATTTTTTGTTGACTAGTAAAATTTGTAAGTCATAAACCACTGAGAGAGAGAAAAAAACTCATACCCAGGAGCATTATAAAAAATATACAGTTATTTTTTAAATTTTCTTTCCAATTTTTTCTAGACATGGTGTACATTCTTGTCTTTAGACGTTATGTTGATCAATTATTTCTAAAGAGGATAATAAAAGTCGGGTGTAGCAAAAATTCACTCCAGACTGTAACCATGTAGATATGAATTAGTTCTATTAATATTTTAATTCATTTATTTATTCAGCTGATACTATACGTTTTATTTATACTAGCGTCACATCATGTTTTTCTAACATGACACCCAATTGAAGATACTCGACATTCTTAATATTTATCAAAATGACAAAAATCTCAATTGTATGACATATATGTGGAAACAGGTGGCTATTAACTTTATATAAAAAACTTTGAATTGCATACAATACCGAAGCAGAAATATTCTGGCTATGGTATTAAATGTAGGAATGTAACTAACCACACTCAAATGTGGGAACGTCACTAAACCTTTCGCTCCTGAGGTATAAAATTAACAGTATTTTAATGAAGTTCTGGGAAACAATTATTTAATATATTTTTTCGTTGTATATTCGTTGAAAATTTTTTAATAATACAATAATAATAAGAAAATTTATTGTAATTTGTGTACATAGATTAGATACAAACAACAGAATTATAAAACACAATAAACAAAAATATAAAGAAAAGAAAAATATACAAATTACAAAAAGACTGGAAATACAGCATAACTGATCAAGTTCCAGCCTTATTTAATGCATTAACATGTAAATAGCAATAATATAAAAAACAAATACAGGGTTTGTCAACAAATTAAAAAAGGAAAATAATAACACTAAAAGGAAAGAAATGTTGCTTAAGTATAATAATTTAACATTGGTGATCTAGAAGGTGTCGCCTTAAATGCGATTTAAAACTATGAACTGGCAGGTCTCTAAAACATTTATCGATACTATTATACAGTTTATAGATATTGTACGTAAAGGATCTTTGGAATAATGCCGTTTTATGATAAGGTGGGGAGATGAGCCCTTTATGTCGCATCTATTCGAAACTGAACGTTTTCGTATAAATAAGGTGGATACTTGTAATTAATTATAGAATGATATAAAGTTAGCGCGTGATATTTTCGTCTAGTTTCCATATTCAACCAGCGAGCCTCATGAAGTTTGTATGATATGCGATCGAATTTACGAATTCCGTATATAAATCGTAGACATTGCTTCTGCACACGCTGAATCTTAGCAGCATCAGCAGCATCCAGACAAGTCCCGTAAAGAACATCGCAGTAGTTTAAATAACTGAGGACTAACGCATCGGTGAGTTGCCTCTTAACTGACTTATCCAGTATATGACGATGAGGATAAAGCATTTTCAAATTCAAGTAAGCCTTCGGAAGAACCTTTGTCACGTACTTCTTAAATCTCAACTCGACATCAAACTCCACTCCCAAATTTCTAGCAGTGCGTACAGATGTAATTTCGACGCCATTAATTTTAATTTTCAATGAACTCTCAACTGCCTCGCGGTTGGTCCCAAAAACCATGACGTAAGATTTACTGGTATTTATAACTAAATCATGTTTATAGAATATCTCAACCAAACTGGAAATTTCTTCATTAATTATTTCATTAGCCCTGTCAACAAAAACTGAGAAGCTGAGCTGAGTATCATCCGCATATAAATATAATGCACAACGCCCCAATCGTGATACTATTTTCGCAGTGTAAATGCTAAACAATAGGTGCTCGGTGACGTAGAGGTACAGGCTCTCGTCTACCAAGCTGAAGGTAGTGGGTTCGATTCCCACACCCGGCATTTCATCAGCCGACTATTTTTATTAAAATAAAAATAGTTTGGTTACCTAGGTCGACTCAGCCTTAAATGAGTACTTGGGATTCACAATCCTGAGGTAATAATAGGCGGTTGAAGCCTAGTGCTAGCCACATTACCTTCCGAACGGCTCTAGTATGGCAAGCTGTACCTTGCTACTCGCAAGGCGTTAAACGCTATATACGGGAGCTATTATTATTATAAATGCTAAACAATAACGGACCCAGTATAGCTCCCTGTGGCACCCCTCTCATAATGCTACCCCTTGGCGACACGACCGTTCCTATCTGAACAAACTGAGATCTATCCGATAAATAGCTCTCAATCATTCCGACCGATTCTTCCGAAAATCCCATATATGTTATGGCCAATTTTGTTATGGCCAAAAGCAATTCATGGGAAATGGTATCGAATGCCTTAGAATAATCAAGCAGTACCATAACCGTTGTGCCCACGGTGTTGTAATGTCTTGCCCACGTCACTCATTCTCAGAATGTCATCAACCACATCCAACAACGCAGTCGTGCAGCTGTACCCTCTACGAAACCCCGATTGTCTCTTAGGAACAAGATCATTGATATCAAGATGAGATTTTATTTGGTCGCTCATAATTTTTTCTAAGCACTTAGACAAAACAGGAAGTACACTTATTGGACGCAAGTCGTTGTAACTATCAATGATTGACTTCTTAGGCAAAGGAATTACTTTACTTATTTTCCAGTGACTGGGAAAACACTACGTAATAAACAGTCATTCATTATATTAGCTAAATATGGCAACACAAAAGGACAGCACAATAAAAGCATATTAATAGATATATCATCGACTCCACGAGCATCGGATTTAATATTCAATAAGTGATTATATATTATATCTTCATTTACCAAACGAAATTGAAAAAGTTCACGAAAAGTTTTAGCTTTGTTTTCTCTATAAAATCTCACATTCCCAAATCAGAATCCCTCTTAATACCATTCTGTTCCAAAAAGAAATTATTTATTAAATGAGGCTTATCAAATTGTGTCGGAAGAATATAATTTTCCTTTTTAGAATATATGTCTAACTCCCGAAACTTTTTCCACAAGACTTTTGAAGATTTATTATCACCTAACACCATATGTTCTATATAAGCTTTTTTTTAATTTCTAAGAGCAATATTTGTTTGGTTTCTGATAGATTTCTTATGGTATACCCAACTTTGTGCATTTTTATCC